ATTGATAATTACATACTCATTCCATCTCTAAGAATTAGTGGCACCATTGTAAAAATTCGTGAAAAAGCAATTATGGTTCTCGATAGCGGATATGTTATAATTAATTTGGCACATCGTAACGGCGCACTAGACCAACTTGAAAACAAATTGAAGTCATTAAAAGTTAGGGACTTGTATCTTAAGCTGCCTGGTCAAGCTATTAGAAGTCTTGCACGCGTGTTCTCCGTACAAGTTAACCTATTCGTAAGTCATTTAGCTGCCTTGTCCGAACAGGAACGAATAAATATGATTCGTTCATGGGAAAACATATGTCGCCAACGCCAAAAAATGTCTAGGATATACCGGTGGGCAATTGGGCAACAAACTTCCCCCATAGTAGCTCCCGATGGTTCTCTAGCAGAGAGGGTCACACAATAAGCCCAAATGGAGATGCATATCTGTTGAGTCAATGCTATAATGAAACCGATTGCACCTTATTTTTAAATCGCACTTATAACGGTACATGTTATTCGAAGTTTCCAGTTTATCTTCATGCAAACAATCAGATTAAGTATCTCTCACTTACCCAACGTCGACTTTATAGCCATTCTAAGTCAATACCGTGTGATAATATTCCAGACGCCACATATATTGCTGATCATTCAGAAACCGTGTGGTATATCGACCGCAATGGCACTGCGTCTAAAACTAATTATACCAAGACTTATTTACCAGCCTTCTCAAATTCCATATTAAAACTTGGTGATATTAATCCACGATTACTACGATATATTCCAGAGCCATTTGAAACATTCTCGCTCCTTGATATTCTTGCGCAGACTCAGGAAACAATAGAACAATTGGACAACATTCGAGCAGCAGACGAGGATAATAATGTCGCATTAGGTATAGGCAAAATAATTGGCATTACTCTATGAGGCATATCTTCCGGTGGAAGTCATATCATAAAGGCAGTAGGATCAGCGCTACATGACGGCTTGACAGGTCTTGGAGATCTCGATGAAAAAGTCATTACCAGCCTAGGCAAAGCCACAGGAAACGTTATAGATTCATCCGGTCGTGCGTTTGAGCACGCTGCTCGAGGCGCAGGAGGGTTTTTTCACGATGTTTTGGGAGGTTTAAGTGGTTCCCTACTCTGGGGTGCGCTCGTACTTTTGGCAGTATTCTGTCTATATCAGTACATACGTAACCAACAAAACTGTTTTCAAAAACCTGACACATCATTTGATGTTGACGAAGCTGACATTGACGTTGAGATAAACGACGATCAATCTGAGTTACAGGATATGACTATACAGGACGAATGTGTAGACTGTGGGTTGCCCCGATGCCCATCGGTTTCTAACCACTTGTCCCAGGAATCATCCGTTTAGGAAGGCAAGCAGTTTCGCCTCTGCCTTCATGTAAATAGTTGTTTTCGTTTACATTGTGCTACGCTTAGTAAATGAAATATGTTTAATTGTAGATTACCCCTGAGGTACACATATGCATAAGTCAATTATATTTAGATCAGTTGTATCTTGTATAATCGATTATGTAGTGTTGTCGTAGAATAACCACACGTACTATTCTGTATAGTCTCAGTTATTAGGCATTTGGCAATATGCCCGTGATAGCCGCGCCGAGCTCAAAAACAAATTAAAATAGTTGGGAATTTGTAAACATATTATATGTACACACATATCTATGATACTATTATATTTAGTTAACTTAAGTTCGTTATAGCTCACACGAAGCTGGGGACAGCTTATTCTAGGTGAGGAGGATTGCTACGCAAAGCTTTATTGTGTTTAGAGATACGCATATAAAAATAGCCATAAAAATAGAAGTAGCAATGGCATGACAGGGATTAGTGATTAAGTTTTGCCAAAAGATGCCTGAGTAAATATAAATTTTCGGCCATTCGCAATCATTAATCACACTCCCTTTAATGTATGACATATCATGGGATCAAGTAACTAATTAGGGGAAAACATTTATCACCATGACAGAAGTAAATGCGTGGATCAACAGTTCTAAGTCGTTGATAAGCTCAACTGCTACATAGTATAAAAATGAGCGTGCTGTAGGAAATGTAGGCTCTTATGTCAATCAACTGTGCTTTTTATAATGCGCGGTCGAGCATTTTAAGGATCACGTCATCAAAAGTTTAAATCGATAAAAATAAGAGTAAAAATAGGTTAAGTTGAAGGATATTGTTCACGGAGGTATTATTTGAAAATTTTACTAGTTGTTGATGATAAACATTTTAAGTTGTGAACATTTTTAAGTATTGACCGATTGAGCTAAAGACCAACTTGACTAGTGCGTCAACGCCGTATTTGTACAAACAAGATATGAGAGTTGGAACGAGCTTCTAACGCCAATCCACATTTCTAACTTACAACGCTGATTGGTTGGATCAGGACCAGCCCACTTTGGTTGATGACGTCTGCAAGTTTCCCTCAACCGTTACTATAAAAGGGCGTGCACAACACCCCAACCTTCAGTGGACTAGCGGAGTAAAAAGCATGTGAAACGTTAAGAAGCTCAACCTGACAGAACAGACAGCCAAGACAAGAACAGAAAACAACGAAGTTCCGAAAGGACGAATATTTGAAGAGAAGAACGAAGTCAGAAACTAACATTAATGAGCATTATAGTTAATCCATTGTAAAGATCTCCTACCCCGCATAAATAGAAAATAAAGACTATATAACACAGTGAATTTATGTAAGTTATCTTTCAAATGTGAAATGTCATCACAGGAAAGCCTTAATTATGCATTTGGTCTATACAATACTGGGCAATTATCTTCTGTGCTTTTAATGTCCAAAGTGAAAGAATTGCTTGTGGCTCAACATTCTTCACTTTTGGATACGTTATACTTGCTCCAGGAATTAAATCCTTCCATCTCAGAAAGAGCTGTTATCTTTGCATCGAAATGCTAAAGCATACAAATATGCTTTGATGAAAATATAATATGATTTGTCAAGGGATGTGTTGGCCGCGTATTCACCAACTGGAAAAGTTTCAAATGACTGTAGCTTTTAGTCCCAATTCCTAATTTCTCTTCATCTAAATACACAATATCAAGCCAAAACAATACATTACAGTCGGGCTGAGTTTTTAATATTTTTCCCCAAAATTGTTGACCTACAGCAAAGATGTCTAGCCTGTGAAAGCATACATAAAAGCAAAGCTAAACAATATCGAGAGGTGCCAGAAAACAAAAAATGAGTGACTATTTACCTTCGTTGTATTTGTTTATATTGGCATATTGTTGTGCGATTAGTTTGTCCTGTAAAATTATTATTATATTTTATAATGCGTGCATGTGCACTCATTTATAATAAATCCTATTGGAAATCTCAAAACAATTGTACATATTCATTAAGGTCTCCAACATATTTTTAAACAGAGGTCTCCTATAGCAACTTGTGAGAAACCCAATAGAATCTTGTAGAAATTCATATAAAATCTTGTAGGAATTCCTATAGCATTTGTTTTTTTATTTTTTTAATGTTTTCCGTTTGTTTTTTTGCAAATTATATAAATGCTTGCTTGTACATGCAATGAGGCTCCTCAATGTTGTTGTGGAGTATAAAGTAAAAAGAGCAGCGGAAAATGTCGATTGGGAATTACGTACATGTAATTACTCTGATTGAGAATTGTGTACATCTAATTACTCTGATTGAAAATAATTTATATGTAATTACTCTGATTGGAAATCGTGTACATCTAATTACTCTGACTCGGAATCATGTATATCTAATTACTCTGATTAGGAATCATGTACATGCAACTAATTATTCTGATTAGGAATCATGTGCAACTAATTACTTTGATTGGGAATCATGTTTATTCTAATTGCTCCGCATAAGTTGCCTAGTCATGGGACAACTCGTTCATACGGTGTAAGTACGCCTGGTGTATTTCTCTGATATATTACTCTCTTTCTTATATATGTTTTGTGTTAATCCTATACGGCTACCACAGACGTTTTTCATACAGGCCAAAGACACGAGTTTACTAAAATTTTAGTTACAATGACTCCAAACGAGATGTTTAACCTTTTTGAGCGTAACTTAATAAGGTGGACTTACAAAAATTTTGGTATAAAATCGTAAATTTCGACAAATTTAAAAATTTAAAAAGTATCAACTTTACGCTCTTCCTCATCCTATTCCGAGTTTTTTTCTTCATAACGCACAAGAAAAGGAAATAAATCGCATTTTCATTATGGTCATCATGAAATTGGCGCATAGCAACGCACTTAGCAACTACAAATTACAACAAAACCTCTGTTTTCTGGTCTTTTAAAAAAATACTTATGTACTATGCATCTCAAAATGAACGATGCTGCTAATGAGCTAAGGAGTTATCAGTCAACCAGTGTGCTGTTTCTTGCGATGGTACATGGCAAAGACGGGGGCATTCTTCCTAAAATGGGTGTGTGACAACGCGGTCAATGGAGAATGCATGGAAGTGCCTTGATGTCAAAGTTTTGAGTAAAGTGTGTCATGGTTGTCAAATAATAGAAAGGGAAGTTGATGTGCATGGGAAAATTGAAGAAGGAGAATATTAGGTATTAAAGCTAACACATGCGATGATTGATAAACTTCAGATTTACTATGGTATTGCCATTCGTAGTAATTCTGCTGACTTGGAAACTATAAAATCAGCCATTTTTGCACCTTGCTCCATTGTGTATAGTAAAGCCATTCAGAAAAGTAACTATATTCTTGGACCTGGCTTACCAGATGACATAATTAGATTAGTAAAACCAATCTCAGCAGTAATGAGCAATATTTACTGCGTTTGATGTTCTGGAGCTTGGTGTATATGATGCTGTGGCACACTTAAAGTGGCTGTCAAGTCCGTGCTGCGCATGTACGCACATTCCTTTCTGTGGGCCCACAGAAAGGAATTTTAATGAAATTATATCCCCATACGCATGCGTATTTAGTCAGGAGGCAAGCTGTCAGCTGTGACAAAACAGTGAAAACACAGCGTTCAACATGGAGGAGTGCGAAAGCTCCTCACATGTCAGTGCCGAAAGCTCCGCGAATTTTAGCGTCCCAAGCAGTGAAGACGCAAAGACGAAACGCAAAGATTACATCGCAAAGCGAGATTCGACAAAAATAGCTCTTTACGAGCAATATCAGCGTTGGCGATGTCTGAAAGACGAGCTAAATTTGAAGACAGACAAACAACTGGCTGAAATGCTTTTAGATCATTACGAAAAAGGTGCCCGTATTTCGAGGTGAGAAATTTGAATTATTCATAATTTGAATCGCATATACATAAATTACGTTCTTCTAAATCTGAACCGATTTATTTCAGTGACGCGGAGACACAGACAAACTTTGAAGACAGCGCTGCGGATTTGTCAGCAATGCCTATGGCCATTAGCCCAAGTAAAGTTTTATATCGACATTTAATGTCACTTTAAACGACGTCTTTAAATGAATGGAGATAGGTAACCCATGCTTTACTATATTTTCCCTTTTAGTTTTATCATCGACCCCGCGTATTCAAACAAGGCCGCATTCATCTTTGCCTCCCGTCGCTACTAAACGGAGACGTCTGTTACTTGGGTCCACAGACGCACTAAGGTATTTTATGTCAAATGTGTTTTGATTCATGCACATGTATGTACTAACGATACATCATACATACATGCTCCACACCCAAGTACCTTTAATGACAACAATAAAAAAAGGTCATGTCGATGTATAATTACTACCGAATTGTAAGTAATTCTTTGTAAAGGAATATAAAAATGTTGTTATCTCTGTTACCTATTGTAGGACACAAACTGTAGATGATGAGGAAACATTATCAGCCATTGATTCTGATGATAGTGAATTGGAGGACAATAGTCAAATATCACTAGGACATCCAATGTATGTTTATAAACTGCTTGAATTCAGGTTTTTAAGTTCTAATGTAATGTAAAGAAATGACTACCCAATATAGCACTTGACTATAGACATTTATATACTTGTATATAGGGTTAGAATTGATGACATTGATAGGGTCTCCTTGGAAGAAGAAGTGTTAGATACCACAATCAATGGTCACAGTGACGATGATGGTGATGATGATGATGGTGTTACTGGTGGTGTTGACACTGAAACAGCCCAAAAAAGTAACAAAGAAAGTTTTGTTCGTCATATACCATCCATTGATGTTCCAAAACTAGAGTTATGCTTAGCATCAACAGCAATAATTTTGGAACTACTGGAAAAGCTACATGGTCCTGTTTGTACAAGAAGTGGATGTAATCGTCCATTGAATTTTGGGAATTCCTTTGTTGGAACATGCCTAGTTGTAAATTGGGGTTGTTCTGCTGGCCACTTTGGTGGGAGGTATGTCTATTTCCAACTTTGCGTTTCATTTTTTGGTATTAATGATAATTTTAACAAGTAACCAGGTACTTTTAATGGATAAACACAACATTTATATTATTCATGTATCTTGATCATTTTGAAAACTTCTAAAATTGAAGAACCAATGCTTCATTTTAGATGGGCTGCCCAACCAACTTGTGAAGGTGTTCGTGCTGGAAATTTGCTTTTGGCATCTGCCATACCTCTTTCTGGCAATTCATATACAAAGATTGGATTTCTTTTCCAAGTCATGAATGTGCAGTTTATATCCAAAAACTTGTACAACCAATACCAGAATTTATATATAGCTCCAGCAGTTAACAGCTATTGGGAGGAATTAAAGAATTCGTGTTGGGCAGAGCGTGAGAATCAAGACATCGTGCTTAGTTCAGATGGGCGCAATGATTCACCTGGACATTGTGCACAGTATTGCACTTATACATTTGCTGAAATGGACTCTAAGTGCATTTTAGACATCAACTTTGTTGAAGTGAGGGAAGTTGAGGGAAGAAAAAGTCCAAACATGGAAAGAATTGGATTTGAAAGAGGGCTTGATAATTTATTGAAATCAAAAATGATTATCAAAGAGGTTGTTACCGATGGCCATTTGGAGATTGGTGCATTAATGAGTAAGTATTCTTCATTGTATTGTTTCCTTTATAGTTTATAAACCTCATCAAATTCCTTGTGACCTACAGATAAAAGGTGTTTGCTTGAAACATTCAAGTTTTAATGCTTCACAACTTTTAAGTGGTCTATTACTGCATGCAAGAGTTTTATTTTTACAACTTGATTGTTGCTATGCTTTTAGCTAATAAATTTTGCTTTGATTGCATGGTTATATCTTTTATGTCACCCTATTGTTTTCAACAATGTATAGCATGATGCTCAAATAAATATTGTATGGAAATTGCTGATTTCCCAACTGTGTGTTTTTTAGAAAATGCTGCAAAATATAAAGACATTGTGCATCAAAGAGATGTTTGGCATGGTGCGAAAATTATTGGAAAAAAAGTTATTTCTGTATGTATTGAACTTCTATGATTAAGCATGAGTTTATGGTGCACCTTTTGATTGATAAACTTGTTTTCTTTTTCATTTTTAATTCACATTTAACAAATGGAGTATCCAAAATAGTTGTGCAGAATTGTGCTTGGTAACTAAGACATTAGGTTATGCTTATTAACCTAGGCTGCTAATGAAAAAGGAAACGAAGATCTTTCTTTGTGGATTGCGTCTGTCAGAAACCACTTTTGGTATTCCAGTCGCAACTGTGGTGGCAATGTTGATAATTTAAAAGTATGTTGCAAATTGAAAATTTTAAACCTTTTGCTGGTGTTCATAAAATTTAATAAAATGGTGCATGCTGCAGTATTACCCTTTGGAACTGACACAAATTTTGCCATTTATGTTTATTTACTATCCATTTGTCCTGTACCATATCTAATGTCATATCTCATTAATTTTTTTTCTAATAGGATTTGTGGATAGGGATTCTCCATCATATTGTCAATGAACACGAATGGGCATTGAAGGATGGCATAGGAGATGGGAAATGTGGCCATGACATTTTAACGGAAGAGGAAAGAGCAAAACCATGGCTGGCAAAAGATTCTTCATCGCATAAAGCTTTGAGAAGCATTGTCCTTAATAAGCGACTATTAAATGAGTTGCCATATTACACCAGGTTTAGGTAATTACATTTTTAGCAAACTGCTATACAGATACCCACTATTATGATACATAAATGCAATACTAGTACTTGGATGTTGTTATTGTTTAACCAGTAGGCGTTTTTCGAGATGTAGCCAAAAATAAGATATAGCCCACATAATATCCCAAATATGATACAATGCCTCTCAGTTTGCACTTGTATATGTACTTTTTTGATATTTCAGGCATACAGGTTTTCTGGAATCTTTCCACAACCATTTGTTAATGTACTGTGCAAAACGTCAATCATATACGTAAGTTATCTTGAAATTTTATTCTATGGGCTGGCTGGTCATGCACTTGCGTGTTAAGAAATAACCTAGGCTATATAAAAATTGCTTTTTTATTTTAAAGGTTAATTGGATATAAGATGCGAAATCAACTGGCAGCAATTGATTTTAATAAACATAGAAAAAGACAAGTTGCAAAGACATTGGATGGAAAACCAAGGTTCGTTTTACTGTACCACTCTTCATTAATGTGACATGTCATTCAAGGGATATTCTCACATGAGTTGACATTTGGGTTAAACATCTTGATTTGCTGTTGTGAATTATAATGTTACCTATAACAAGAGTTAATATAATATTAACTCACCTGATGCTCAAGGCCCTTAAAATGTTTTGTCTATTCTACCCAGGAATTATGCCACCTTTTGATGCGACTCAAATTGGTATAATTTAATCAAAATTTTTAATGCATTCTAGATATAAAGCACACTATAGTAAAAGGACAAAGCAATGGTGCCCAGTTGCAGTCCTTGAACCAAAGGAATACAAATATTTGCCAGAGTTAATCATTGCAATATTTGAAAAACGAAGAGCTACACCTGGCCATGTAACACAGCGATTAGGTCTTGCTCCAGATGACCCAAGGAACATTGCCAAAAATATTGCTGTGGTACCCCAGCCTCCGATGGAAGAGCTTCTGAGACGACACCAAACAAGGTTTTGATATATGAGGGAATACCGTACTTGTGGCACCGACAATTGATTTGCATATCCGTAGACCATATTTATATATGTAATTTTAGATGATTTGTGGGAATTTAAATATTGGGAGGGGAGGCATATCTTATAAATTGTTGCTTTCAAAAATCTATCATCTTAACAGTAAATGAATAAAGTTACATATAACCAGTAACATCGCTGGTCATACCATGCCACTAGTGAAGTGTCAATAATTTATTACACATTATTACATGTCATCATTAACTTGCCAAAATGTCAGTATTGTTTTGAGTCTTCAAAGTCGAGCAGGTCTGAATCCTACATACAATCCATTTGGTGATGGATACCTCGCTCTTATTTTCAATACGCAGCAACTTGGCACAACAACTCTGTTACCTCGGCCTAGACGTCCATATTGCCATAAAACGTACTGTCGATAAGCAGCATGACGAAAGTTTTCATTGTTTCTTGCATGGTCAGCTACAAGTACATCTTCTCTGTACCTCATAGCAATGTCTAGTACATTGCCATCCAAAACCAGTTGGAGGAAAAGTGGACTGGTTGTAATACAGGGCATTACTCTATGGCAGCAACATTTATTTTCCTCTTGTGTTGGCATTGGGGCACAACAACCACAAAAGCACCAGTCTGGACTATCTGCCGGTGGGGGGTTAGGCTGTGGTGGAGCTTGCTCACCTGCTGGGTTTGCCAACTCTCCATCAACCAAGTCAGCAAATGCTGCCGGCTGTCTTCTCAGGAGTTCCAATGCCAATCTCCTTACTGCTGCCTCATCAAGTTGTGCAACCAAGTCCTGAAATTGTATTTTATTGCAAAATTAATTACTCTATAATTTTACTCTATAATTATGATTATGATTGTGATTATTATTAAAATACTTGAATGGCAGTTCAAAAACGAACTGAAAAACACAAGTTTACAAGTATCAGAAATAAGACTATTTACATATTTACAGTGATAAAATACTCAGAAATACAATTACTAACATGTTAATACCATAACTACAAAAAGATATGCTAACATTAGGTTCAAAATATTAAAATATTAAAAAGAGTTCCATTTACGTATGCAATACGGCAAAAAGCTATCATTATAGCGTTTCGTTCGACATTTAAAAAGAGAGATCGATCGAGGATGTCTGAGATCGTACTCATGGGTTAAAAGTTTTGGTAATAGACTAGAAATTTTACCCGAAGGGTCATTATAATTATTTTTATAAAAGGTTCTGCATAACCGTTCCCTTCTCGCTTCTAAGGTAGGTAAATTCAGGTCTTTAAGGCTTTCGGTGTAGGACAAATGGGGAAAAATAATTTTGAACGCACGTTGCTGAATATGTTCCAATTCAACGGTGAGGAAATTAGGTAGTGAGGTATGCCAAACTGGACATGCATATTCCAGGACAGGTCTGATGAAACTACAATATACCGCCTTAAGATCACTAGGTTGGACACCATTTCTTCTTAATAGCCTTAAGGCATACAGGCGTTTGCTTGCTTTAGAGGATATGTGCCTGATGTGTGTGGTCCACTTGGGTCGGAGGTTAAATTTACTCCCAGGAGTTTGATAGAGTTCACAGCCTCCAGAGGTAGGTTATTGACAAGCAAGGGTTGTGCCGGGGGTTGATTGATCAAGAAGGACACGGTGAAATCTTTAGTTTTTTTTACGTTTAATTTCATGTTGTTCACATTCGACCACTGAGACACCTTATCGAGTTCTTGCTGTAATTTTGGAAAATCCGGTTCACATACTCTAACAACTTCAGAAATAGCACAATCATCAACGTACTTGTACAGTGGTAGTTCACTGGATAGATCATTGACCATTATAAGAAAGAACAAAGGCCCCAATTTTGTGCCTTGCGGAACTCCAGCATTGATTTCTTTCCAATCAGATTTACAAGATTTTAATTTAACGCGCTGTTGTCTGCCTTGAAGGAAACTTGAACACCAGTTTAATAACACGGGTGGAACGTTGAGGAGTTGTAATTTGCGCATTAGAATGTTATGGTCAATTCGATCAAACGCTTTGGAAAAATCAATAAAGCAGGATCGAATAATGGTATTAGGTGTTTCCAGGGCCGAAAGCCAATGGTGGATTAGGTGCACGAGGGCGTGAGTCGTTGAGGACTTTTTCACACAGCCAAACTGGAGGGGATCAATGAATGGCATAACAATGGGTGCAAGCCAATTGAACACGAAAGACTCAAGGATCTTGCTCAGTACAGCCGTGAGGGATATAGGTCTAAGGTCCGTATCAATAGATTTCGGTGTAGGGATCTTGCTTAAAGGGAGAACATCCGCGCATTTCCACAGATCAGGTACCCGACCTTCTCTAATGGAAGAGTTAAACATGGAGCATACAGGGTAGCTAATATTTGCGGCACATGTTTTCAGGATCCAATTGGGGATCTCATCAGGTCCTACAGACTTACAATCGTTAACACCTGCCAATGCAAGTTCAACAGCATCACGCGTAATGACGTATCTATCAGGAACATTGGAAACGGGTACTGGAGTGAAATTTAAATGCGGTATATCAGCAGCAGCACTGCAGAAGGATTCATTAATGACGGTGGCAAGTTCAAAGTCTCTCAAGACGGTGCCGTTTATGGCTAGACTATTAAACGGAGGGGGACATTCCTGACAACTGCTTAATACCGTCCCACCACTTTTAGGATTGCTCTGGTTTATGTGATTGATTTTGTCGTTATAGAATCTTCGACGTGCACTTTTACAGAGTTTTATCACTTTATTGCGATAAACATTAAATTTGGGAAGGTCATTATTCAACCAAGCTTGTTGACGTTTCTTAATGGATTCTTTAATAGCGGGAGTAATCCATGGTTTATCGTTGGGATGGAGTTTAACAGTACGCATGGGAATACATGAATTCAAAGCACCATGAACCACAGACTGGAACAAATCCAGTTGATCGTCACATGAATTTCGCCTCATGAGCGGTGTCCAATTGACCGAGTCCAGGCAGGAATATCAAATTTCGTTTGTTGGAAACACGATAATCACGCTTTTGGAGTCGTGTGGTGGGTAGGCTTGGAGCATGTGGTGAAGTGGGTTGAAGTAATATGCTAGAATGATCAGATTGGCCTATAGGTGGCAGGATGGTAGCATCGTAGTAAGCCGATAAAGTTGAAAATGCTTGATCAAGGATATTACTTCCCCTGGTAGGCTTGGTGACCAGAGTTTTCAATCTAAAGGAATTGCACAGATTTCCTGGCTTAAATTGGTTAAAATCTCCGAGAACCAGGACAGCGGAATTAGGATAGTTGGCCAGTGAGGAATCTAAACATTTGAAGATATGCGTTCGAAGCGCGTGGTCATCGCTTTGGGGGGGGTGATAAACTGCTCCCAGGATAATGGAGTTTATTCCTCGGGGTAATCGATCCATTTTGATTAAAAACCATTGACTCTCAATTTCAGGATCGCCTAAGTCAGTTAATTCGGTAAAATTAAGGTTTGAGTTAAAATAGGAACAAAGACCACCACCGCGCTGGTTATTCGTTCTATCACGTCGGCAAGATACATAACCAGGAATACGTATAGACTCATTAGTTATTTGTGGATTTAACCATGTTTCAGTAATTACGGCAACGTCACACAGTTCGATAATTAAAAGGACAATGTCAAAAACATTTACATGCCTGCAGTTGTTGGTCATGAGCCATAATTCGTTGTTGAGAGTCACCTTCTTCAACTAATCTCCCTCGACCTCTTCCCCTACCACTTTCTCGACCTCTTGCCCGACCTCTTCCACGACCTCTTCCCCGACCTCTTCCACGACCTCTTGCCCGACCGCTTGCCCGACCTCTTCCACGACCTCTTCCACGACCTCTGCCTCGATTTTCGGTGCCCTGTCCTTCATCCTCGCTCCTACTCTCTCTGCTAATTCTGGCACGTTTTGTAGATCGACCTCTCGACCTTGTTTGAACGGAGTCAATTGACACATCCTGTAATTCGCTTTCATTGTCCTGGAATATTCAAAAGGGAAATATATAAATATTTAACAAAATCCAGAAGCCGAAGAACCCAATAAAACTTTTCCTACCTCGTACTGTTCAGAAGAATCTGAATCGCTCTCGATGTAATGACGGCGATTCCTACACGTAAGCGATAGTCCATCATGGCACGCTAAACTGCAATATTGTCTCGCTGTTTTGCATGGACAAGCATTTCGTCCTTTTTCGCGCAGGCACATACCACTGCAGGAACACGTTGTATTCTCGTCCAAGTTAGCGACTTGGGCAATCCCTTCAATTTGCAGTCGCTCTGCATCCCCAACGTCCAAACTTTCGTCCATATTACAAGAAATATTGTCCGATTCAACGGTGTAGAAAAAAAGTGCGGTCCAACAGTGTCAGTAGAAATCAGAAGATATGAAATCGACACCGTATAGTATGCAAATTTCATGCAATTGATAACAGAGATGCGCTCAATTTTCAACATTCTCAAATTTCGTGAAAACCGGAAGTAATAGGCGGCAAACTTCATGTAATATATATATAATAGTTCACGATGTAAACAAAACACGCGCGTGCGCAAAACGGACTTGACTGCCACTTTAAGTATTGTTGCTTTAGGATAAAAGCCAAAGACTTAATATTTAGTACCTGATACTGATTGATTAATAAGCATCTGAAATATTGTTCATTAGTAAAGTTATTGTGAGATTTGGACCTAATTAAATGCCAAACGACTGGGTTTATTCTGTTTCTATTTTATGTAAAAAGGTATATTGATGAGTATTCTAAAAATTATATGGTGATAAAAGCTCTCAAAGTTACCTTATCTAAAAAATTACCCCATAGCAACGCCTAAGCAACGCATTTAGGTGCCAAAATGGTCCAAAATTTTGACTAAAATTCATTTCTAACCAATTTATTTTGGTTTCTCCTTTTGGTGTATGTAATTTTGAGTTGTATTATGCTGACTGCAATGTGATTGGTTCCTTTTTCACACATTCCAAACTGAAAACTTGCTGTTTTAGTGTTCTTTAAACAGCACTTGTTGTTTTTCATTGTATTTAAAAAAAAATGGGAAACATTAAAAACCAAAAGAGAAAAAGTGCTAGACATCCGCCAAGGAATACAGCAAAGAAATTTAAAGATGGCGTACCTTGTGAGAAAGAAGCTGGCTCTTCCGGGACGAAAATCGCCGCCGAGAGCGCAAAAAAGTGCCTACTGCAGAGAGTCTCGATAGTATAAGGGAAGGAACTGTTTTCATAGATCTTTATATTTTATTTGGCGTCTTGGATTGCCTTTTGATATGCCCT